CGTATTATGTCATGTGAGAATTAAAGAAGAACAATTGAAAGACGAGCAGATAAATAAAACGTTGCACACTGTGAATAAATGGAGCCGCAAGCTTTGGCAGCATAATGCGATAAACAGCCTTGCATGCGTGATATTTGGTGGACAGAATAATGCTGCGAACGGTGCCTGTTTCTTGAATATCAAAACAGAAGTGTCACCAGATCTTGTTATACGAGCTTAGAAAACTCAACGATTCGTTGCTCTGGATCTATTTCGATTATTAAATAACCTATGAAAACGAAAAAGAAACTGATCTTATCAATATGGAATACAAAAGTGCAAAGAAATCCGTTCATAGCTATGTATCAGTTCGGATACAATTGTACAAATAAGTATTGTTGATAGCTATTTTATATTCTTGATCTTTTTTGTATTATGTATTTTGTTTGGTAAAAAAATTATCAAATTATTTGCAGAATATATTTATTTGTATAACATGTTTTATATATATATAGAACACGAATCTTTTACAAAAAAGAGAAAAAATGAATCAGAAGTATATTCAATGTATTTATATATATGCAATAAGCATGCTTATCACATATATATAAATACATTGAACATTACAAAATTATATTAACACAAACAAACGAAAGATACAGCATCGCTCTCAATGTTATTTCTTGATAACATTGATATATTATTTTATTCTAGATAACACTGATTGCTCAAAACATGTCAAATAGTGATAAAAGTCGTATACGTAAATAGTAACTTATTTTTATATTAATTTATTATAAAGTTTGTTGAATTTATGAAATATTGAAATGAAACTTAAAAATAATCAAATTCAAAATGCATTATTAAAAAATCGGCTATTTGATGTTGCTCGCTGCTTTTCAAGATACATTTTGTAAGCCGAAACCGGTTCCCGATTGTTCCTATCAAGCATACGTTGCCTGAACGAAGCTGCTGCGGAGCTACTTTTTGACGATTGTTTCTTAGCCTTCCGCATATTTATTACAGTGAATTGCGTGGTGCTACCAGACGAGCTCAATGCAAGGATGCCATCGTCCCTTGCAGTCGTCGCCTTCGATTTTGAACTGTGTCCCGACAATGACGTAATCTGTTCCTGGTTTTGCGACAATTTCTGTCTTTTTTTCGCTCTCGTTGGCAGATCCGTAAGATTTTCGACCACGTCGTCCGGAAGTCGTTTTACTCTACCTGTAGACGATGGTAAAAAGTCGTTCTTCTCAATAACTTTTTTTCTTTGTTTTTTGTCAGGAATCTTTAAAACTTGTTCCTGAATCGTATTTTCAACATTTTCTCGCTTTTTCTTCTTTAATTCTTTCTTAGCTCTAACGCGCATCTCTGCAGCATGGATAGCTTCTAGTGCTTCATCCCGTGCTTTAGCAAAAACAGCGTTTTTGGATTTAATCGTGTCTGACGCAATATTTTGTAGTTTATTAGATGCCGGACTCTTATCGGATTTTAATTTCGAAATTCCAACTTGTAACGGCGAAGTTTTCTCTTCCTTCTTCTTCTTTTTCTTTAATAACTTTTCCGACACAATTTCTTTACTTTCCGCTGTCTTTTGCCGTTTAGATTTGTTTTCGACAGCTATGTTCGCGGGTAAATCCAACTCTAAACTATCTACAATTTCATAATTTTTCCTCTTGCGTTGCGCTAACTCCGTTTTGTTTTTGCGAATATTCTTTTGAGGTACATTCTCTTCGTTTACATTTTTGTCTTGTTCAATTACGCTAAATTGCTTCTTCTTCAGTTTTTTTTCTTTTTCATTAATTTGACTATCTTTGCAAGTATCATCTTCTATAATTGGTAGCTGTGCAGGTTTAACACGTTTCTTCTTTTTAGGAGCATCTGATTCCACCATGTCTTCAGATAAGGTTTTATCGATAATATTTTCGCTCGAAATATCTTCTGTTTGCGCCTTACATTTCTTCTGTTTCTTTCTACGCTTCTGTATGGCATCATCATCACTAGGCGGAGTTACCAGATTAGGTATTTCCTTTTCATCATTTTCTAACTTTGTTTTAATTTGCGCAATATCTTTTGCCTTTTTAACAGGTAATAGTTTTTTCTTTCCTGAATCGATTTCTATGTCCAATTTTAATGTTGGCACACTCTCACTTAATTTATCTTTTCTAAGATATCTTATTGTAGGTGATTCAGTATGAGTAATATTTATTGTTTTGTGTAATTCACCCATCTTGGAAAGTTTCGGTTTCGAGAGCCCTGCTTTTTCTACAGCTTCCGCTAGGTCGGATGGTAGACTGTTATTAAGTTCTTTTTCATTACTTATACGATTAAACTCTCTCAAACTGATGTCCTCTTTTAATATAGAATCCTTCTTCGATTTCTTTTTCTTAAACGAAGTATCCTGTGTTGTTTTTGTATTATCTATCTTGGTATCCTTAATTTCCGAAATTCTTCCGAATGTTTTAAGTGTTTCATTAAACTCGAATTTCTGTGTACAAGTATCAAGTTTTGGAGTACTACATTCCATTGATAAGCGCGATTTTGGCAACTTTTTTGTAGATGTTATTTCAGATTTATTTACTTCTTCTGTTACATTTTGTTCTGTTACATCTTTCGGAGAAAATTGTACATTCGATTTCTTTTTCTTCTTAATTGACGAGTTAGGTGTATCTAATAAAATAGTATCTTCATTTTGTTGCATACAAGATTTATTTTTAATCAACGAGTCTGAATTTGACATATCCAATAAAATGGTTTTATTTTCCATTATATCGGATTTTTTCTTCTTGATATCTCGCTTTATTTTTGTGGATTTTATTTCAGGCGAAGACATTTTTGTGTTAAAGCGAAGCGGAGTATATTTAATAGATTTTTCTTCTGTATCTCCTGCTTCGTCTAATATATCATCATCAATTTCTTCTGTATCTCCTCCTTCGTCCAATATATCATCTCTTTCATTTTTTACTTCCATATTTTCCACATCTATGTACGCTTGTTCATAATTTTTATCTTTTATTTCCTTTTTTTTTGCAACTTTATTCTCTTCTTTTACACTTTGCTTATTTTCGCTTTCATCGTCCACTTCCTCCTCTTCTGCATCTCCGGCTTCTTCCATATTTTGCTTATTTTCCTCTTCACTATTACTTTCCTCCTTTTCTTCGTTATCATCATCATCATCTTCATCATCTTCTTCTATTTCATCATCATTAACTATAAAATCTGCGAGATCTGAACCATCATCATCAGGATCTGAAACTTCCGATTCTGAAGCTCGCGGGTACATTATCATCAGAAAACTTTTGTTCTTTTCCATCCAGATTATATTCTCTCTTGATATCAGAATGTATTGATGTATTAATATTAGTACTATTATCAGTATCACTGCTTGTTGTTGCAAATAGAAAATTTGGAATTCCACTTTCATCACTGCTATCCGATTCCTCATCAAGATCTGATCCCGTACATACTATTGAAGAATAACTTTTACTTTCAAAATTCATAGCTGGTATAACTATTTCGCTATTATCGCTTTCATCATCATTTAAATGTGTTGGTGTTTTGGCGTTCAAGTTTGACAAGTTTTTTTCTTCAGATTCACTTGTATCTGCATCTTTATTTTGTAATTTATTCAAGGAACGCTTTTTCTTTGGTGATTTTTTTCTTAAATCTTTTTTTGCATCTGTGCTATCTAATTCTTTCCCCGAGTAATCCTCTGGAGATTCATTTATAGAAATATTCTGCATAGCTTTATCTCCTTGCCTTGAAGGCGTATTTTTTGTTGAAGATTTATTTAATGATTTTCTTCTTTCCGTCAATTTTGATAAAGATTTATTTTTCTTATTTTCTTGCAAACTTCTGTTTAATTCATTTGCTTTATCTTCAATTTCATCTGATTCATCATGTATTTTAAATGATTGTTCCCTGTCTTTTGCAACAGTTTGTCCTGATTTGTTTAATCTGGAAACAGGTCGGTCATTATTTTGATTTGAAACTGTTTCAAACTCATTTATAGATTTATTTACAGCCGCGATTAAATCGTCCTCATCTTCCATAGAACTAGGTAAAGAATCCTTATATTTTCCAATCACATTTTTTAATCTTATAATTGAATTAATTGCTTTATTATCACGATCTATTTCTTCTTCCTCTATCATAATCAACGATTTTTTATCACGACTCTCCACCTTTGCGTCTACGCGATTCTCTAATAATTCTTCATTTATCGTAGGCAATTGTTTAGCAATTATTTGTTCATGATCCATTGTCTTCGCATCTAATCGGCTCTTTAATAACATGGTATCGTCGGAATCATATTCGAAAGATTCTGCTTCTTTTGCAGTTTTCATGTTTTCAGCAGCCAACCACGCCTTCTTATCCACCAAAACAAGATCACATTCAGCTTCGCTTTCACTTTCTGGTTCCTTCAATAACTGAGAATTAGAGTGTACTGAGTTGACGTCAACATCAATTTCCTCCTCAATCTTTTTTTTGTTCGAGTTGTCGTTAGAAGTATCATGAAATACACTAATACCAACACTAACATTACGATCGGTATTCATATTTGTATCGTTCTGGTTTTCCAATCGCAAATTCTCTTTTTCTTTCTCTAAATATATATTATCTGTACTTTTCCGTTTTAAATCTTGTTTTATAGTATTTTTGTGGTTACTTTTTGCTTCTGCTCTTTTAGATGGCATATTTATTGTGAATTTTTCAGAAGCTTCTGTTACATTAGAAGGTTGAGTATCTTGAATTACTGCATTATCCTCATTCGATTCATTGGATTCGGATTTACTTGTCTCCAGGGCAGCATTGGAGGATTCTAGAACTGTTTCTATTGCTTGCTTAGAGTTTCTCCGTTCTTGTTTCGTAAAATCAGTACTATTAATAATATTATCCTGAGTTATAACTGACCGTTTCTCTATTATATTGGATTGATCATTAGAATTTTTATTAATTGATGACATAACTATTAAATCCATTGAATCAGAAATGAGCATAGAATGAGGCATGTTTGAGGAAGCTTCGTTTTCATCCTGATACGAGCTTTGCTCTTCTAACACTAATTTCATTTCGTTGTCATCAATTATGGAAATAGAACTCAAACTTTTCTTGTTATCACTTTCCTGTTTTGTTTTACTTTGCTTCTTAGATAAACATGAAATTTTATTCAATTCAATCTTGTTAGAATCTTTATTGATGTCAGTATCCGTAATAATATGCTCTGTTTTATCGACTTTATCTAATTTAGTGATCTCTTCCATTATGTTTTCAGTAGATTTACTTATCTGTTTAATAGGTGTTTTATTTTTCGCAATAACTTTATCAACTAATCCTATATCTTCTTGTTGTGATAAAATTGATTTATTTATATCGTTTGTAGTTGATTTACTGTCTGCTTCATGTACCAAACTCTGTCTTTTAGTCGTATCATTAACCGAAGGATAATCTAAACATTCTTGCTTACATGTTAAATCTGAACTTAAAGAGTCTGTAGAAATATCCATCTTTTCCTCAATGCCATCAATAACTTCTTTGGACAGAATGCCGTGTTTCATTGTAGCTTCTATGGATTCTTTCGAGTGACGTCGTTTGTTTAAGCTTGACTCATTTTTGATAAATTTAGTTTCCTTCTCATTTGATGATTTATTCGCAAATATTGGAGCCGGAGATTTCGTACTTAGTGATATTACATTAGTAATAGGTTGTATGTTGCTTTCTAACGTGTCATTAATAATATTCAGAGTTTGATTTTCCTTGTTACTCGGACTTTCTTCTTGCTCTTCAACAGAAGTATTCAATAAGTTTTCAACCTTAATCATTAACTCCTTTGTGAGCGATTTTTTTAATGACATTTCTGTTCCTGATGAATTTTTAATTATTTCCAGTTTGTCTTCTTCTTTAGAATTTGAAAGATTTGAAAAACTGTCCTGTGTGGACACTTCAGTTGCACTATTACCAGATGATAGATTTTCCTCAGATTTGCATTCTTCAACTATTGCAAATGTAAAAAAAAAAAATACATAAATTTTAATTTGTATCATCTTATATGATTTGATATAAACTTAAATAGTTGCAATACAGGTAGTAAATCTAATACAATTAATTTGAGATGTAATAGATGTAACATATTTTTTAAAGATATAAATATAATTATAATATTTAAAATTATAGGGGAGAAAACATTTTCGGCTTTACTTACCAAGAATGATTTCATTGTCTTCTATTATTTTATCAGTATGTTTATCGTGTATGTCATCTTTTTTCTTTGATAGTTGAGAAATTTTATCTGATTCTGAATATGTGAAAAGATGAAACAGTATTAATATATAAAAAATATATAAAAATAGAGATTTAGTAAGATAAAAATATTTCTGTTTTCCTTTTTCAAAAAATTAATTGTATATTGGAAATTCTATAAGTGTTTACCATGACTGTTATCCTCTTCAATATCATTTTTATGTATACTTTGACGTTTTTTGTTAATTCTTTGGCTTTCTTGGGAACGTAATGCTTTATCTGGAGAAGAATCTGAGTTTCCTACAATGTATTTAACAAAATAGATTTGTTATAAATTTTGATTATTCATATAAACATTACATAAATTGCAATAATATAATAAATTGTAATAATATAACATACATATTAGATATTAAACTATGCTAATATGCTCACATGTGGTTTTAAACATATATAGATCTTCTTGTTAGACACAACTTTAAAAAATTACCTGAATTTGTAAATTCATCAGCCTCAACTATTGTAGTATCCAAACGTACATAAGGTATAAGATTCTTTTTTTCATTTTCCTCTTTAACTGGAGATTCTGGCATTACTAGAGATACCCGTTTACGTGTTATAATTGGTGTGCCAGGATGACTTCTATTTTGCTCGGATAAAGATTCTGGATCGACAGAACTAGCTCTTGTTCTACGTGTAGTTCTAACCACTGGTGATTTTGTCTCAGAACCAGCTCGTATAAGACGCTTACTAATAATTATTTCAAATAAAACATATTACATCAAATAGTTTCATACATATATTGTGTACTTTATTAAATATAATGCTATACCTTGCCGCTCGAGTGTTGACTTTAGTAGGTGTACCAGAAGTTACAGCAGCCAAACTGCTCCTTGTAGTTCTCTTCTTAGGTGTCCCTAAGACATCGATGTCTGTTGATTCACTGATATCTGAAGAAATGGAAGCTTTCCTAGTACGCTCTTTCAATGTTTCCGAGACAATATTATCCATGGTCGCTGTTCTACTTCTGGTGTTCCTGATTGGTTGACTACTGCTGATGCTACCAGTATCACTTTCAGAAGAATTTGGTGAATATTTAACCTTTATTCTGCTGCTACGGCGCAATGGAGAATTCACAGTAGAATGTATATTAAGCTTCTGAATTCGCGTACGACCTGTGGCAACAACACATAAAATAATAAGAAACTAAGCTGTTTAAATCAAGACAATATAAAAATAAGATCTTCTGAAAGTAACAGTTCAGGTAACAATATCCAATTTTGAATCTTAGCAACACTTTGTATTCTTATATATATTTAAATAGTGAAGGAAAGTAATACGTTTGTAACTCTTTCTTTATGTTTATATAAAAAATATCTATATATTAGGTCTACTGGAAAGTTCTGTCCGTTTTTGGAATAAAACAAAATACAAATTTTTATTACCGTCAATAAACTTTATTAAATAATGTAATTGCCATTATTATTAATGATTTCTTGCCAGCGTGAGGGCAATTTGTATATCCCTTTTTCGAAAAATGTTTTATCTTTTGATGCGAAAAATTGAACCAGTGCTTGTTTGATATCTTCTTCATTTTTGAATTTTTTGCCCCTCAAAAAATTTTGTAAGGACAAAAACAAGTGATAGTCGGAGGGTGCTAAGTCCGGGGAATATGGTGGATGCGACAGAATTTTCCAGCCTAGTTCTGCAATTTTTTGACGAGTATCCAAAGCAGCATGTGGCCTGGCATTATCATGATGCAGTATGATGTTCTTCCTATTGTACATCGCCGGCCTCTTTTCTTGGACTGCTGTATTTAAATTATCCAGTTGCTGACAATACTTCTCCGAATAATGGCAATTACATTATTTAATAAAGTTTATTGACGGTAATAAAAATTTGTATTTTGTTTTATTCCAAAAACGGACAGAACTTTCCGGTAGACCTGATATTATAGATTGTCTTCTAAAAAAAAGAAACTCACTAATGAATCAGTCAAGACTAAGTATAGAAGTTACATGCTCATCCAAACTAATAGCACATAACGTGAATATTGAATCAAATCAACGATATATTGTGAGTTACAGGTCAAAGGGAAAAATAAACAAGTCATCAATATCTTCGAAAGCGACAAGATATTTTAGCAAGCAATGATAGCGATCCTGGGAAATCTGCAGAGAGATCCAAGGAAATCGTTAAAAGAGGGAAAAAAAAGAATAAAGAGAGAAAATTGACTTGCGCCACGTTTCCCGATGCGATCGATGACGATGACGGTAGCCGGCGTGAAATGATGTCGAATCGACCGTTTCAATCAACCGTCTTGCGTGTCTTGTGCGCGCAATGTGCGAAAAAACGACTCATACAAACCTGTTTTCGGCTCTGCATCGTCGTCCGAATCTCTGGTGGAGCGCGGCATCCTCGCAATTATATATATCGCGCTAATAAAATAATCTCTTTCGCAGAAAGTAAGAAAGATATGCACGTGGCGGGCGCCGATGAAGAAAGGTTATCAGAAACCACGTGTTTTATCGCCGATACGAATTTCGAAAGTTCACCGAGAGCGACAGAGCCGACAATCGATGGACGACACGACGACACCGATTTTCCGTTGTCCCGCGCGCGATGCGCAGACACCTACCGGTAAATATCCGCGATAGATCAGGATCTTTCCTTGGAATCGACTTTATCGATTAAGGAAAAATATTGTAACGTACCGCGCGCAGTCGCCGCTAGGTGTTATAATTCGCAAAGAACTTCAGAGGGATTAAATTCAATTTCGTTCTGTACGCGTAACGAAACGTTTGCAGAAATGATGAAAAGTTTTCGCGCCTTTTATTTCTCTGAACGGGAATTGCATCTTAAGGAGATATTCGAAGGTAAACTGAAAGAATTCGAGCAAACTTTCTCTTTCTATTGGAATATATCGGTAAGTTATTAAAATACATCTCCAGCATTTTGATGTTCTCGATCATATATATATTATATGTAAACAATACAAAAGAAAATTGACGCCCATAAGGGGCATATTGTTGTTGCGTGATCATTCTCTACAGATTTTCATAATTATATTAAGATATGATTATAATGATATTATAAGGCCGCTTTAGGCGATTTTTAATTCGCCACAAAATTCGGAACAGAATTCAATTTACAACTTTGTGTGTCGTATCATGCAGAAAATATATTTGAAGAAGTAAAATACATATCTACATATATACAAACATACCGAAATATACACAAATATATATAATATATTAGCAAATGCGGTATATATAAAATTATAAATAGAATACTGTCTTGAATTTTATCGAACATTATCGTTTAAAGTCAATTTAATATACGAAAATTTTTTTACGATAATATTCATAATTAATATTTAACTAATTTCTATGCACTTCAAAATATTTTTTCAGAATGGTATTTTCGTCAAGCCCGGCTAGCTCAGTCGGTAGAGCATGAGACTCTTAATCTCAGGGTCGTGGGTTCGAGCCCCACGTTGGGCGCGTTTTTTTTTTATTTTAAGTGATACGATTAATCGCGAGATTAATCATCGTATAGTTAAGGATCTCGGTATTAATATGAGCAATAAAGATGAGTCATCATCAATGTTTCCAAGATTCTCTTCCGCCTTATTCTTGTTTCAATCTTGAGGTCGACATTTAGTTTTCGAAGGAACAAACGGGCAAACGCGAACTACAAGTAACGTCACCTCCATTAATCTTCCTCCTGCTCGGATTAGATTTAACCTAAGGGATTCTCACGATCTTGTCTCGACCGAAATTACGATCGCGACCTCTTCGTGACTCTGCATCATGAAAGCTGATTCATCTCGAAGGGGAACAATCCGGAATAATTGAAAATAGAACACATAAAATATTTAATAAATCAAATAATTTATGTACCAACTCTATGGAATCTATTATTACATTAAATCTATATTGAAATAGTACTTGTTGGTAACAGCAACCAAGATTGTATAATGATTAATTAATTACGTAATACTTCTTTTTCCTTTCTCTCGAGGCGAAACGTGATTATGCGTTTGCGCCAATTGCAGAGCAATGCTATTGACGCGCATGTTTCGAGCCGCGAGCTTGAAGATAGGCAACGAACAATAATCCGACAAAGAATAATGGATAGCAATGAGGTATTGTCCCGTGTCGCTTTCAACGAGTCCAATTAAAGCGCGTCCTTCCGTCGGCTTAAAGTCAGAGACGCGGTGGAGTTTTTTCACCGGCAACGAGTGGGATGGAGAATTGTGTAACCCTAGGTTTCAATAATAAAAGTCTCGTTACGTTTTGCGTTTACGCTCGCTATAAATTATCACGTTTCCCGTCCGAATGTTTTTTTTTGTCCGATAGCGATTGCGCGTCGCGGAATAATTAAAGCATAACGAATTGACAATGTGGTAAAATTCGTATTGATTTTCCCGCGACCTTTTCTGTTCCCAACAATATATCATATTTACCGATATTATATTAGGTCTACCGGAAAGTTCTGTCCGTTTTTGGAATAAAACAAAATACAAATTTTTATTACCGTCAATAAACTTTATTAAATAATGTAATTGCCATTATTATTAATGATTTCTTGCCAGCGTGAGGGCAATTTGTATATCCCTTTTTCGAAAAATGTTTTATCTTTTGATGCGAAAAATTGAACCAGTGCTTGTTTGATATCTTCTTCATTTTTGAATTTTTTGCCCCTCAAAAAATTTTGTAAGGACAAAAACAAGTGATAGTCGGAGGGTGCTAAGTCCGGGGAATATGGTGGATGCGACAGAATTTTCCAGCCTAGTTCTGCAATTTTTTGACGAGTATCCAAAGCAGCATGTGGCCTGGCATTATCATGATGCAGTATGATGTTCTTCCTATTGTACATCGCCGGCCTCTTTTCTTGGACTGCTGTATTTAAATTATCCAGTTGCTGACAATACTTCTCCGAATAATGGCAATTACATTATTTAATAAAGTTTATTGACGGTAATAAAAATTTGTATTTTGTTTTATTCCAAAAACGGACAGAACTTTCCGGTAGACCTGATATTATAGATTGTCTTCTAAAAAAAAGAAACTCACTAATGAATCAGTCAAGACTAAGTATAGAAGTTACATGCTCATCCAAACTAATAGCACATAACGTGAATATTGAATCAAATCAACGATATATTGTGAGTTACAGGTCAAAGGGAAAAATAAACAAGTCATCAATATCTTCGAAAGCGACAAGATATTTTAGCAAGCAATGATAGCGATCCTGGGAAATCTGCAGAGAGATCCAAGGAAATCGTTAAAAGAGGGAAAAAAAAGAATAAAGAGAGAAAATTGACTTGCGCCACGTTTCCCGATGCGATCGATGACGATGACGGTAGCCGGCGTGAAATGATGTCGAATCGACCGTTTCAATCAACCGTCTTGCGTGTCTTGTGCGCGCAATGTGCGAAAAAACGACTCATACAAACCTGTTTTCGGCTCTGCATCGTCGTCCGAATCTCTGGTGGAGCGCGGCATCCTCGCAATTATATATATCGCGCTAATAAAATAATCTCTTTCGCAGAAAGTAAGAAAGATATGCACGTGGCGGGCGCCGATGAAGAAAGGTTATCAGAAACCACGTGTTTTATCGCCGATACGAATTTCGAAAGTTCACCGAGAGCGACAGAGCCGACAATCGATGGACGACACGACGACACCGATTTTCCGTTGTCCCGCGCGCGATGCGCAGACACCTACCGGTAAATATCCGCGATAGATCAGGATCTTTCCTTGGAATCGACTTTATCGATTAAGGAAAAATATTGTAACGTACCGCGCGCAGTCGCCGCTAGGTGTTATAATTCGCAAAGAACTTCAGAGGGATTAAATTCAATTTCGTTCTGTACGCGTAACGAAACGTTTGCAGAAATGATGAAAAGTTTTCGCGCCTTTTATTTCTCTGAACGGGAATTGCATCTTAAGGAGATATTCGAAGGTAAACTGAAAGAATTCGAGCAAACTTTCTCTTTCTATTGGAATATATCGGTAAGTTATTAAAATACATCTCCAGCATTTTGATGTTCTCGATCATATATATATTATATGTAAACAATACAAAAGAAAATTGACGCCCATAAGGGGCATATTGTTGTTGCGTGATCATTCTCTACAGATTTTCATAATTATATTAAGATATGATTATAATGATATTATAAGGCCGCTTTAGGCGATTTTTAATTCGCCACAAAATTCGGAACAGAATTCAATTTACAACTTTGTGTGTCGTATCATGCAGAAAATATATTTGAAGAAGTAAAATACATATCTACATATATACAAACATACCGAAATATACACAAATATATATAATATATTAGCAAATGCGGTATATATAAAATTATAAATAGAATACTGTCTTGAATTTTATCGAACATTATCGTTTAAAGTCAATTTAATATACGAAAATTTTTTTACGATAATATTCATAATTAATATTTAACTAATTTCTATGCACTTCAAAATATTTTTTCAGAATGCTATTTTCGTCAAGCCCGGCTAGCTCAGTCGGTAGAGCATGAGACTCTTAATCTCAGGGTCGTGGGTTCGAGCCCCACGTTGGGCGAGTTTTTTTTTTATTATGTATGTATATATATGTATATAAGAATTGTATAATATTATGAAACAACTTCCTCTTCTAATTTATTTTATTTTTACAAGGAGAGCGCAAAACAAGGATGAATATCTTATGCCGTACTCTTCACCATGGTGATTCTTTATCAACACTAATCATCCGTCTACGAATTAGAGACACATGCGATATAAGGTGACTGCATAAGGTGAAAGGCCGTCCCTGATCAAGTAAGGAATTTGTTTCTTTCTTGGCTGATTTACCAGCGCGCACGCGTGTGTTTTTGTCGAAGTTTAAGAATACGCGTGTAGTCCACGAAGGACTCGTACACTGATGAGAAAAAAGATATTTTTTTAGATTGACTTTGGCCCGTTTGCGGCTGCCACCATAATCTCTAATCAGTATAGCGACGAACAGTTATCGAGGCTATATCGTCCATTTCAGCTATGTTATAATTTCATGAAGCAATTTATTAGAAAAGTTTGTTTTATATTTAGAAATCACAATATATTTAATATCGTATATAGTGACAATTAGCAATAATGATCGATATGAGAGATTGCAAAATTTCAGAAAAATAATAATGTCTATATGAAGTGAATGCGATATGAAATAATTTTCAACGTTACAATTGTGACACTTATATTATTTTTCTTTAAGATTTAATAATTCTTAGATAAATAATTATCTCATTTTTTAAAATGATTTTATAATAGTCGTTAAATAGAATATGAAAAATATAATACAATTAATTACTTATTATTAAATAACAAGGTATATTATATCACACGTTTTTGTTTCTATTCAGAATACAACACGTGTTGTCTATTAGATTGTTTCCGGCTATTAGATTGTTTAATCTAACGTAATAATCGAATTTCGTGTGCTTTGGATTACATATTATTTCATAGAAATAAAAAAAAATACGTTAAGGAGTCGAAATAATTTAGCAGATATAATAATCAAGATCCAGACTAATTGAACATTTGCTGTATTCAATCAAGACGTCGAACCAAGCACGATTCATCTCA